CCCCGTGTCAACCATGTCGCTGCATCCCACTAGGCCACTAGACATACATGTGCCTGTGCAACAAAAATGCACAGCAAGTGTAGTATGAGTACAAAAATAACGCATACCCAGTAAGTATCCAGTCTAACCTCAAAGAAGTAGTGATGAGGGTTCGACTCCGGCACTTACTAGTGGTCCAATAATATCATAATATGATGTTCTAATTTAACATGATATGTAGAGATAACAACAAAACTCAGAACAAGAAGAGAGCTGAACAATTCTTTCATTATTATTAAGGAACCCCAAAACACTTCCTTCAATTAAAACAAATGATCTCTCAACGATGAATTTATACAAATTATAAAAAGTGTTTCCAGTTATATTGTCACACATAATTTCCACCGAGGACGTTCGGTCCGATCCAACATAAACGTAAATTGTGCACTGCCGAGGGTCGAATGACGCGAACCATAGATGCATCTATTTTCCCGCTCCCGAATCATACATGCGACGCGGTCAAATATAAATTGAAGAAATTATCCCGTTCACGAATCATACCTGCGACGCGGTCAAATATAAACTTAACATATAATTCATATCTCTTTCTTGATTCTTTTCAAAATAATGGAAATTCATCTTGAAACCTTTTGAGTAAGTTACCCCTCCGGCGAAACATACATGCGACGTAGTCACCCATAGATTTCTTAAGCTATTATAATATTCCTCAATTCTTTTCGAAATTACAAAGTTCAAATGGAACCTTTTAAATCTTAATTTTTTCAAATTTCAATTCTTTCGAGACAATTATTAATCAACCTAAATCTTGCTTCTTCTCAAGGCAAACAATAAACATAAATCGACAGTAATATCAACAAGGCATGATGTAAACCTAGACTACCCGGACATAGGCATAGCTAGTAGCTACGTACGGACTCACCTCGTGCGTACGTAGCCCCCACAATTAAAAGCACATATTGATTTATTTCACCTATGGGGTTAATTCCCTCTTACAAGGTTAGAAAGGAGACTTACCTCGCTCTGAAGTTCCATAACCGGCTCCAACGCCACTCTAACACCTCAAACCAATGCCCAACGCTCCAAAACTAGCCAAATAATGAGCAAACCAATGAAAATATGCTCTAATACTCATAAATATTCAATTTACAACAAATTCCCAACTCCGCTCGGAAAGTCGATAAAATTACCCTCGGGCCCACGTGCCCGGATTCCGAAATTTTTTGAATATAAACATTACCCATCACCTTACGAACTCAAATATATAATTTATTCCCAATTCCATGTTCAATTTCGGAGTCAAAATCTAAGGATACCAATTTCTAGGTTTTTCTTCAAAAACCCAAATTTTCACTAATTTCCATGTTAAAATCTATACATAATCAATATATTTAACTCATAATAGGTGGGAATAGCTTACCTTGCCATTGGTGATGAAAACCCCCTCTTGAAACCTTCGAAGAATCGCCCAAACCAAGAGAAAATGAAAGAAAATGGGTCAAATCCGCCTTTTAAATAATCACACTGCCCAGCGATTCCTCGCACCTGCGGTCACTTGAACGCTTCTGTGGTTCCGCAGGTGCGGACAAAATACTGTTTCTGCGGTCCTCCATCAGACCCCTCGATTCCGCATCTGCGATCGCCATCCGCTTCTGCACCTTCGCTTCTGCGGCTACCCGCGCGCAAGTGCGGTCCCGCTTTTGCGAAATTCGGCTGCATCTGCGGTCCCAGCCTTCTCCATCCTAAGCCGCATCTGCGACCCTCATAGCCGCTTCTGCGGCTCCGCACCTACGGCCCTAACCTCACAGGTGCAGTTATACCAGAAAACAGCAGCCTCAACACCTCCATAAGGCCAAACTCAAATCGTTGACCATCCTGAATCCACCCGAGGCCCCCGGGACCTCGTCCAATCACACAAACTAGTTCCATAACATAAAACGAACCTGCTCGAGGTCTCAAATCACATCAAACAACACTAAAACCATGAATCATACTCCAATTCCAGCTTGATGAACTTTAGAACTTCAAACTTCTACATTCGATGTCGAAACCTATCAAATCACGTTCGATTGACCTCAAATTTTGCACACAAGTCACATTCGACATTACGGACCTATTCCAACTTTCGGAATCAGAATCCGACCCGATATCAAAAAGTCCACCTCCGGTCAAACTTCTCAAAACCTTCAAAGTTTTTGACTTTAGCCAAATGACTCCAAAATGACCTACGGACCTCCGAATTCACTTCCGGACGCGCCCCCCAATACCAGAATCACCATACCGAGCTATTCCCAGGCTTAAAATCCCAAACGAACATCGATAAGAGTGAAATGCACTGCAATCCAAATTTATGAAATTCTTCCCAAAATGCCAACTTCCACAATAGATGCCGAAACGCTCCCGGGTCATCCAAAATTCGATCCGAACATACGCCCAAGTCCAAAATCATCATACGAACTTGTTGGAACCTTCAAATCCTGATTCCGAGGTTGTTTACTCAAAAATGCAACCTTAGTCAATTCTTCTAACTTGAAGCTTCCGAAATGAGAATTCTCTTTCCAAATCAACTCTGAACTTCCGAAATTTCAGTTCCGACCATGCGTACAAGTCATAATACCTTAAGTGGAGCTGCTCATGACCTCAAACCACCGAACGACGCGCTAGAGCTCAAAATGACCGATCAGGTCGTTACATATTTCCTGTACAAAGTGACAATGATGTGCTAAATCAAAAAGATTATGCTAACTTAATTGGAAGCTTGAGATATGTGACTGATTGTACTCGGCCTGATATTGCATACGCAGTAGGATACTTAGCAGGTTTACAAGCAAGTAGGTAATGAACATTAGCATGCCATAACAAAAGTTATGAGGTATTTACTTGGTACAAAAACCTATGGCATATTTTATAAATAATATCCTGTTGTACTCGAAGGATTTTCTAATACAGATTGGAACACTTTATCTGGTGACTCCTATTCTACTACACGTTATATTTATACTTTGGGAGGTGGTGCTATTTGTTGGAAATCAAAAAAGCAAATAATACTTGCTAACTCTACCATGGAGGCTTAGCTAATTGCTTTAGCTTCAGCTAGTTGGGAAGAGAATTGGTTGAGAGATTTATTATTTCAAATTTCTTATTTTGAAAAACCAATTTCTCCTATTTTAATTCATTATGATAGCACCGCTGCAATTGTAGAGTAAAAACTGTTATTACAACAGTAAATCCAGACCTATAAGGAGAAAACGCAATACTATAAGATCATATTTGACAAATGGTACTATTAATGTTGATTATATTAAATCTTGTAATAATCTTGCAGATCCACTGACTAAGGCCTTAGCAAAAGAAAGTGTCTGGAGCACATCGAGGGGGATGGGATTGAAGCCCATAAACTCATAAGTGATATATGAGGAAACCCAACCTCGGGACTAGAGATCCTATAACCTGATTCAATTGGAAGAACGAGTCATGTAATGGCTTGGTTTGAAATGCACTATTTTTATTATTGTTCCTTCCCTATAGTGTGATTGCATTTATCCTGTAATGATTTGCGATGTTGAGTTTTATTAACTCTTAATGAAAATTTGTAGCTCGTATGAGTGGGGTGTTAGAGTTACAGGAGCACCCTTGACAGATTTCACATATGTGAGCGTGGAAGTAGGCCGCTTTCTATGAGAATTGGGCTTGTTCTCAAAAACACACATGAAAATCGGGATAACACAAGGCCATAATGTGCTGGCTAATAAAGCTCATTTCAACACCTTGATTATTATGTGCAAGCAGTGATAATTTATTTTCCTAAAGCAGTCATAGTTGAAGCTTTGAGACCACTACTGATTCTGGAGTAAAGATCGTTCTTTTGCTAAGTGGAGGTTCAATACAGAGCACACCTTCATTATGTGTGATATTCTCCCTTCAACTGGTAAACTCTCTTATTTTAATATTAAAATGAGTGGGTGATTGTTAGTATAATAGCATTGTATTATTAAAATAAAATATGACATAACTCCCACTACTCCATGATGTAGAAAACTCCCATAACTCCTACTACTCCATGATGTAGAAAATGACCATAATGCTTTTGGAACTCTTCTCCCATGTTCTACCACTAATTACATAATAATTCAATCATTATCCCATGTTCTCCATGATTTCATTACTTATTACCCCACTTTCTTCCAATTTAATTCATGGAAGAATTCCTACGCCTATAAATATGAGTCTTTCTTCCATAATGTGGTGGAAAATAATTGTAAAGTGTTTCAATAAAGTGAGGTTAAAGTTGTGAAAAAAGAAGAAGAGAGTTTTTTACTTTTGTTTAGGAAGATGTTCATCTTGGTGGAGCTTTGGACTTAACGACTTGTCCAAAGTTTGTTCGAGTCATACGACGACGTGATCGGGCTGTTGTATCACGGGGGAGACAAGTCAAGAGGATTACTACTGGATCAGTAAAGACTTTGCTGCAATGGACTTGAATCTTCTTAAAGAGAGCGAGATATTCGCGCCTTAGCTATTTTATTTTCTTTCATTTTATTTTTCAACTGTAATTAAATTTTCATTAACAAGATTTTCCGTCGTATTATATAGACTTTACTCCTGCCCAAAAAAAAAGATCAGAGAATAAAATAGAAGAGAGGTGGATTGTTGGTATTTGGGAGGACGTGGCACGTGAGTACACGAATACTCCAATTCCTGATTTGCCGGCGAATATTCCACGCTGTCACCGACGCATCACCTCACCACACTATAAAGTTTATCATTTAATTAATAATAATCTTATATTATTAATTATAAAATTAATATGGTGTGATGTGATAAAGCGGTCCTTTTTATCATTTTGGATCGAATCTGTCATCCTTAAACCAAAATGAAATTATAATTAGTAATTCGGCGGTCATGTGTCTTCAGATTCCTCGCCGATGTTTCCTCTCCGTGTCGTTTTCTTTGTGAAATTGATACCACAACAAAGTTAGTATTATATCTGCCTGTACCAATTATTATACACATTTTCATGCTTTATTAACTCGATTTGATATTGGAATTTTTTCCTTACGTGTTTTTTTTTTCCCTTCATTTGTTACGTTAAATATGTAAAAGTATTCTCGTTGATATGTTTCAGGAGACACAAGCTAAGAATCTCTGCTAACTTTAATACCTTCATTTTAAAATAATAACTAATTAGCAACTATTTATTTATAGCGTTAGCGTTTGTAATTGGAAACTCCATTTGATTCTCTTTATTGATTTTACATCCTTCTGACCATCATATCTTCCCTTCTACTAGTAAGATTCTTGGAACTGTTCATTATACTGAATAAGTTTCAAAGCTACATTTATTGTTTTTCTTCCCCATTGAGTTTTTGAGCTTTCTTGGTGCTCAAATTCACTGTTTTGATTTTGAGTACTGTGTTGAGATTTAGTGGGAATATATAGACAACAGTAGGTATGTATAATGGAAGTGGGGCGGGAAGAGGAGGTAGTTTTATGTATGAGAATGAAGTGGTGATGACAAGAGACCCAAAGCCAAGGTTGAGGTGGACTGTTGATCTACATCAACACTTTGTTGATGCTGTCACTAAGCTTGGTGGTCCTGAAAGTGAGTCTTTTTTTTTTTTTTGTACTTATAATCTTGTTTTTGTTTGTAATAAATTAGCAAAATTAAATTGCAACTGACATAGGGTTGCAGTGATTTGTATCTATATATGCATTTGTTTGGCCATCTTTTTCTGCTTTCTGAGTTGGGAATCACTTTGGTTCTGTAACAATTCAAGATAACTAGTCACTAGAAATAAATCCAAGATAACCTCTCTTAGAATTATACTAGTGTATCTTTAAAATGATATGAACTTAAATCGATTCATTTTAGATTTTGTAAATTGGTTTGGAATGGCTTTCTGTAGGCTACTATAAAGTTTCCAATTTCTATGTTTATAGGCTAATGCTTCTTTGGCTATATGTTCCCAAGTTATTGTTTTTAGAAAGAAGATAATTTTTCAGGGTTGGATTCAACTTTTTGCTTTTCAACTGGATAATTGAAATATGAATTTTATTCAACGCCTCGCCTTTTAAAACACTGGTTCCAAGTGATTTCCAACATTTTGGAGTCAGTTCCGTTTAAGACAAGAGGGGTTGCTCTGATGGTAAGCACCCTCCACTTCCAACCAAGTGGTTGTGAGTTCGAGTCACCCCAAGAGCAAGGTCGTGAGTTCTTGGAGGGAAGGATGCCGAGGGTTTATCGAAAACAGCCTCTCTACCGCAGGGTAGGGGTAAGGTCTGCGTACACACTACCCTCCCCAGACCCCACTAGTGGAATTATACTGGGTTGTTGTTGGAGTCAGTTCCGTTTAATGCTCAGCAAATGTTTGATAGAAGGTTTTGGATTTACAGAAGCAACTCCCAAGTCAGTACTGAGGTTAATGGGCGTGAAGGGTTTGACACTATACCATTTGAAGAGTCATTTGCAGGTATAAGTGCTTGTTTCTGTTTACCAATTTCTCTCTCTCTCTCTCTAATAACCCTTTCCAATGGTCTTAATTTCTCCTTGTATATTCAGAAGTATAGACTTGGACAGCAGGCCAAGAAACAAAATGCAGCGGAGCAAAACAAAGAGAACAGTGGTGAGTTTGCTTAATGTTGATCTTACAAATTAAAGCTTTGCTTGATCTTTGTATTTGAAATCATTTTTCTATATCTCTTTTTTCCTTTTTGCACTATTCAAGTTAACTTATGGTTGCATTGTATTCTCCAATTAATCTCACAGGGGATTCGTCGGGACAATTTAATTTGCATTCCTCAGGCCCTGGTACCTCATCATTAAGTATGAACTATATACAAGGGTAGGTGCCATGAATCTCAACTGTTACTCTTCACTTTGTTGCTCATCATTTATCTTAGTTACAAGTCATAAAATACTTAGTTTAGGGACTAATATTCTTTTTTAATAATTTCCAGTGGTTTACAAATCAATGCTTCTGTATTTTCAGTCTTGAGAAATTAAGCACTGGTTTAATTACAGTTGCATATATGTGTACTTTTTTAGGCTTTATGTATATTTGGTTTAACCATTATGGACCTTATTAAGCTAAATTTATTCGGTTAAACTAGTGTCTTCTCACTAATATCACCCTCACCCGTGTCTGAACAGAGATGTTCCAATAGCAGATGCAGTAATGAGTCTTCAGAAAAGATTACAGGACCAGCTTGAGGTATGCATAAACTTATTTACTAGCACTATTTGTATTCCTCATGAGCGAAAACCATGAAAACACACACACACACACACACACACACACATAATGGTGTTGCGCGATTATCTGTGAAGTAATGATCTTAATCTTGTCTTACCCTAGCCCTCAGCTTTCATTTTGACATGATCCTCATCCTAATCGCCGGACTAATTCTCTGGTCTAAACACAGGTGCAACAGAAATTGCAAATGAGAATAGAGGCACAAGGTAAGTATTTGCAAGCAATATTAAGTAAAGCTCAGAAGAGCATTGCAGTCAACATGAATTCTCCTAGTGCAGTGGAAGCAACAAGAGCTCAGCTTACTGATTTCGATTTACCTCTATCAAATTTAATGGATTACACAAATAGAGAGAAGCGGGATGATAACATTATCGATAAAAGAACACATGATAATATCAATGAGGAGCTACAAAGATCTAATTACATTGTGGAGGAAGAACAAAAGAGCAATATGAATCTTAAGCTTAAAGAAGCTTCCATTAACTTCGATTTGAACTCCAGAAGTAGCTATGACTTTGTTGGTGCAAATGCAGCCGTATTGGAAGCCAAATCACTTTTACATGGAAGATTGGAAACATAGCATTATCAACACATAGTCAAGCTTCCTTTTAAGTTTTGCTCTGAAAACGTTATAACTTGATATGTGAAGTTCCGATTACTGATCATATGTTATTACAAAGTTGATTGTAATGAATAGAGAGTTAAAGATTTACACAGTGTTTGATAGTGATAAGTATTGCAGAAATAATACAAGATTATCATTGATTGTTCTCTTCAGGACACAAGATTATTGTAGTACATTATTTGCTGTAATTTTCTTTCAACTCCAAATCAAACAGTGTGTGAAAGAGAAAGCTAATTAATATAGCGTTTTAAATATTCATCCATGCGAGTGTAACGAACTTCAGGGTAAAGTTCAGAAGCTTCTTCTGCATTTTCTCCAATTTCAAAGTTTGTTAAACAACCTTCGTAGAATATGTGATAGAAATGTCCGACTCCTACCTGCCCAGCATAGTCCATTCCTGCAATATTACCATTTCTCAAATGTCAAAATCCTCTCCTTTTATTTCAGTGGGGAGCGAATGTTTTTGAATTATTATATTAATTTCAGAAAAAGTGAGTACTAAGATTCTTTTAGTACAAAATTTAATTAATGAAAAGCATAACTAGGACCTATTTTCAGAGTCACGAGCTTCATCAAATTCTTTGAACTAGTTACAAAAATATGCATTCAATCTTTCGAAATAATAGTTACATATACATAGAACATAGTCATTTAGCCCGGTGGTGCACAATGTATCATGCATTCACGCAGGGGTGTTATATATAGATAGCCTACCCTAATGCTAGCATTAATGGCCGCTTCCACAACTCGAACCTGTGACCTATAGATTACACGGGTATAACTTTACCGTTGCTTCGGCTCTCCTTCCCTATAAACTCTAGTTTCCCATAAAGATAAAAGAGTATTTAAAAAATAATACTAGCCAACAAAAAATATTTCCCCTAATTAATTCCCAGAAAATAAAATTAATTCTTTTCGGATAGAGGAAGTACCTTTCATGGAAGATAGGAAGTCTTGTTCAGAGATGCTAATTTTCTCAAGGTCTATTCCTTTAAGCTTTTCCCACTTGCCTATCAACTCCCTTTGAGTCAGAATGTTTTCCTGTGGTCTAATGTACACTGTCTTGTTCAGTGTCCTTGGATCATCTATGCTTTTAATTGTGTATGTTGCTACATCATCTTCATCCATATACACCACTGCATATAATTAACCCATTTTTTTTTTCCACAAAATTAATCTTTTTTCTGAAAAGGGTATCCTAAAGATAAATCTTTACAAGTATTAATTCAGAAAAATTGTGTGTACCTTTAACATTGCCTTGTCCATAGACACAAACTTTGTGTTTAGGAGGAACAAGAGTTCCAAGTTGAGAGAGGTTGCCAGCAAAGTAACCGGCAAAGCAGTTAGCAGAAATGTAAGTATAAGGAATATGAGCTTCTTCTATCGCTTTTCTCACTTCCATCTTCTCATCAAATGTCACTCTTCCTGGTTCTATTGCATGTCCCATTATTGCTGGATCCATTCCAAATTCTGATGGCAAGAACCGCTGCCAATTTTATTTCTTTGTGTCAAAACAAACAAGTAAATGAAGTAGCAAAATTATTACTCCAGTGCCGCAGAGGCGGACCCAAAATTTTAACGCTTGGGGACCGGCAAAGCAGTTAGCATAAATGTAGAGGCCTATGCATACAGGAGTTCTGAATTTGATCATGTAAATTGTAATACTCCATTAAGAGAGACTGTTTCTGATAAACTCACAATCTCTTGATTGGAAGTGGAGGTTGCTTACCATTCCATTAGTTTAATTTTATTATTTTTGTGGTTTGTTAATTCTATGTAGATGGTTATAGCAAATGTGTCGAATATCACATGGTACGTAATTGTTGGAGTGCTAAAAAGCTACTTATATCGAACGGAAATATATAATATAGAAATGGATTCGTATCTTTACATAAAATACGTGGAAGAATCTAAGAATAAGAAAAGAAATGGAAGGAAAAGGTGAGTTTTGCATGACGAATGACGCGAGTAAGAAAAAAAAAATTACTTTTAATTCTGGCATTAAAATAAATAAACTCTATGTGTCAATTTATGTGATACACTTTCTCTTTTAATTTATCTCAAACAAATGATACTTTTATATCTAAAAATAAATTAATTTCTATTTTTTATTTTTACCTTAATGAGATGATTTTTAGTTGATCTATAACTTATTTTAATCATAAATTTCAATCTTTTTTTCATTTTAAGCTATGCTCAATAAACATCACATAAAACAGCACGGAAGGAGAATATATAAATGAGCATTTATGTTGATTCATTAGGATAATTGAAACACTTTGGGCTAGGAAATATCCAACAATCAATGTTGCAGATCTAAAGTAAATAATTAAAAACAAATATGTTTGTTGAACAATTTTACTTTTAAATAAGATGATAACACAATTCAACATGATATTAGTATAGTTTGAGATTTTCGAACAGTTCAGCAATTAATCAATACTCTTTTTAAAAAAAATATATTAGCCTGTAAAATGTGCAAAGCATATATAAAGATAAACTAATTTGTTTGCATGACGTAAGAATGGATTGTTGAACCTGACAACTAGAAGCTGGAGAATTCCATTACAAAGTTGGTCTGTGTGGACTATTACAGAAGCATGATTAAGGGTGAATAGTAAGTAATTTAATTAACAATCCTTATGAGTCAAGTCAAAGTTTCATCATGGGATAGTAATGTTATTCACTGCTCCCTATCTTAACTAGGGGTGTAACGTGGGCCGGGCCCGGGCCTAAACGGGCCTCGTGGGCTGGTCCTAAGTGGGCCCGGGCTTCGTGGGCCGGTCCTAAGTGGTTCCGGGCTTCGTGGGCCGGTCCTAAGTGGTTCCGGGCTTCGTGGTTTTTTTTTGTAGGAATCGGCCCGGGACCGGGACTACTAACCAATGATCCCGGGCTAAGTGGGCCGGTCCCAGGCCTAAGTGGGCCTATGTGGACGGGGCCTATTTTTTTTTAAATTTTTTATCTAAGGCAATTTCTTGCAAATTATATATATATATACACACACATCTTAAAATATAGCAAATGTTATATCGAATACAGCTTATATATTATACACTTAGTATATATATATATATATATATATATATATATATATACACTCTAGAATCACCAGGCATGATTTAACTTGAATTAAGAATTTGAGTTTGAGAAATGAGAGAGATTGATGATTTTGTAAGAAAAATGAAAGAACGAGGGAGTATTTATAGTTGAAATAGGGAAAAAGTGTAATTATAAAAAGTTTGGGGTTAAAACAAAGGTTGGGGGGGGGGGGGGGGGTTAAATGTCTATTTTAGAAATAGCCAACGGCTATTTTGGCAGGTAAAAAGGCCATTTTTTAAATGCCATAACGGCTAGAAACGGCCATATTTGGCAGATTTTTTTTAAAAAAATATAGCCGTTTAGGCCCGTTTAGGACCGGTCGAACCGGCCCACTTCCCAGTGGTCCCGGGCCCAAACAGTCCCGGTCTCGCGGGCCTCAATCGTAGGACGGGCCCACTTCCAGGCCCACCCCACCTGGTCCCCGTTCTATCCGATTTGGCCTGTTTAGGCCCACCGCTCATTTGGGCTCGTGGGCCCGGGCCTAACCGGCTCACATGCCACCCTTAATCTCAACCAACTTTATCTTTTCCTTTATTTTTTTTTCCGGTCTTTTGTTTTCTTTGTACATTTCTTCTTTATATTGTTGTGATTTTGCATGTTTGCGAGGAGCCGGGGGTCTATAAAAAATAATCTCTCTACTTGTACAAGATAACGGTAAGGCTGCATACTCACTATCCTTTTCAAACCCCATTTGTAGGATGACTCTGTGTTTGTTGTTGTTGTCGTCGTCTTTTGTTTTCCTTAAACTAGATTTACAAAATAAATTCAGTAGAAATAGTCATATTGGAATTTGTATCCTTTCTATGGGTTAAATAGATAAGGTAGGTCGGCTATTTTAACTTTCACTTGTGGTGAGAGTTCGATTGCCCGCTTTGTAATTTTCTCTCGGAACTTTTTTATTTGAAAAAAAAATAAAAAATTGACATGTTACCATTCAAATACAGTGCATTGGAAATTCTTGTCCATTTTTCACCGAGTAAAATGGACAGCTTACCCTTTAATTTAACTACTCTCCATGATCCTAAACCTGTTCTTAACCTTCGAAAAAAAAGGGTTAAACGTAGACTATATATGGACTATTTGAAGTAACATATTCGCGTAAAATTTTATTAGACATGAACAACAAATTAAAATCAAACGACAAAAACAAAAGAAAATTAGCCAATCAAAAAAGAGACAAGATTTGGGTACAAATTTAGCCAAATAATCAGGAAAGAGAACTAACCCCCCAGAATTGGGTACATAATCTAGATTTATTAACATAATTTTATATTTGGAGGTAAATATATAAAATGAAAGCAATGATATTAATGTGACCGAAACTTTAAAGGAGATGAGACATTTCTTAAAAAAGTTGGAGGAGTGTTTTAGCAAATTTTACTTCTTTAACTATGGGATATAGCTTTATTAATCTAGACATTTAACATTCGACTTGAACAGGTGTCATTCATACAAAGGTGTACCTAAAGAAAATGACAGAAGGTGTATAGAAAGAAAATGATTATTTTTTTAAAATTATCAACTTTAGAGTGCATGCGTATACATTTATTAGTTCCGTATTACCAAAATTATGTTATGAGGCAAAAACAGAAACACTTTCATCGTTTAAGGTATATATATTATATAGATGTATATCTCTCTCTTTCTCCATATATGGATACACACACAGAGGCACACACACTTTTTTTTTACAAAATTAAATATAAGATACAATTTACTCGTAACTAGTATATCACAAAATATTTTTTGAAGTCTTTATAAAGCATATGACAGTTATGACGTAATTTTTGGTACGTATAGTAATTAATAAGCCTAATCGAGTCTTCTGAGACGGATTGATTCTCGAGACTGAAGATATATGGAAAAATGTAATTTTCTGGTGGATTACGTACCAATCTGTGTATAATTTGATTACGATCTATGTAAATTTCTACCGAAGAATGAACTTTAACATCAAGAGAATTTGAACAATATATACCTTAACATTTCCAGCTTCTTTAATGGCATCAACCAACTTGAGTTGCAACAAGATATTGTGACTTCTGAAATGCACACCAGACATTGTGCATATAACAACATCCACCTGTTTGACAGCCTCCACAAGGCTCCGGTGGTCGGAGAACGAGGCCTCGACAAGTCGAGCACCTTGCTCTTTGAACGACAAAAACATCTGTAGTTTGTCGATGTCGAGGCCGATCTCCGGCCGCTGCAAGACATACGTTGTATGTCCCTGAGCTAAGCTAGCTTTTACAATCCTCTTGCCAATATAACCAGTGCCACCTACAACAAGAACCTTGCTTTTTGCCATTGTTACTTCTTAGTATATATTGTGTTTTGAGTTCTCAAGAGTTGGAGAACTAAGCCATTTATATAAGAGAAATTTGCTAATGGCTCTATTCTATTGATTTCTATTTGGTTTAACTTCAAAGGTGAATATGAGAAAAATTATACATGAAGTATAAGCTCTTAATTACATTTGGCGTCGTGTCTTGTCATGACTATTAACATAGTTGAAAAAAATGTGTTGATCTTCTCAAAGTCATTTTAAATACATGTCCGTCAAAAAGAAAAGAAAACATGCCCGTCATCTTTTAGATTTTAACAAAGAAAGTCAAATTTTAGAAATGTTTGTTGGGATATACTATTAACCATGCGGTTTAGACATAGTATAATATTTTGTTTATTATGAAACAATTGTTTATTTAATTTATTCAATTCAATAAAGCACTGTTTTAAATAGATCATTTGTAACATGTGTGTCCTTTTAATTATGTAGTAGACAATTTAGTGTATGGAGTCTTAGCTCATGCACAGAAGATTAAATTGTTGGTTCTCATAATTAATAAACTATGTTCACAATCGAAGATATTATCGGACAAAATATCTTGATGATTGTAGCACAAGATTATTGTATAATTTGTCTTGATTATGAGAGTAGGTTTACTCCAACTTCTTGTGCTAGTATACTCAGTGTATATTGAACGGACCAAGTAGAGAAAAGGTATTTTTGTACTTAATACATATAAAACATTTTCTCTAATTCATTAAATGAGCTTATACTCCTAATCTTGATATAATTGTTATGATCGATGTAATTTGTTTATTGTTTTGATTTATCAAAAGGTACGACTCTATTTAGAGTTAGTATATGCCTAATAAATTGGACAATAACAAATAACATTTGTGAATAATAATTAGTTGATAGAATCCATGACTTGGTTTTGGGTTTGATGATACTCCTTTATATAAGCTTATAACTTTTCATGTGAAAACCCGGCCGGTGGATTTTGTATCCGTCACATGAAATGGTTTAAGCGGAATTATAAAGGATTTAATTAGTTAATTGAGTTAAATTTTCAGTGATTTAATTTAATTAACCGGTATTTGAAATCTTAACATGGGGAGTTAAAATAAGTGTTGATGAATTTTCGAAATTCATATTGAGGAGTTCAATTGCAGTTTTTTAGTGGAATAAATTGCAATTAATTATAGTAAGAATTAATTCATGCTAATTTAGAAATAATACTACAATTAGTAGCCTCTTATTATTTCTGTGGTCCCTGCTATACCTAGTAAAACCTGGACAGACTTGGGTAAAAGTAGCTTGGGAGAAAAGTTACCCTTTTTGAGTTAGAGTAGGATTCTACTTGTAGAATCCTACATGATTTCGGGCTCCCTTTTAGGGTTTAATTTCGAGTCTATAAAAGGGAGACAGGTTTCACCTAATAATAGACCCTAGAGTTGTATTGTTCTTGCCCACCCAAAAGCAAAAGTGTCCAAAGTTTTACTAGGCATATAGCAGAAGACTGCAGCCCTGGATCCTTGCTGTTTGGAAGATTTGTGCGGTTATTTCAAGAGGTTAGTGTTCCTAATCTCGTTATTATTGTGTTGTCTAGTTTACATATAATTGATGCCTGATTGAGTGATTGCTTCCGCTGCGCATGATCTAACAATTGGTATCAGACGCCGTCTTACATCTAACTAGATAATGTAATACAGCATGCATATAGTAATATTAAAACGTGTTATTCATTGATACATGTTTCGGATAATTATTCTATGTTAAAAACGTGAATGTTTTGTATGATATTCTGTAATTTTGGATTAATATACAGAACTTTTGGATTAATCCTCTCAAAACACGTTTTTTTTAAATCACGTATTGTATGGCCGCAGTCCCAGCGTAACCGCGGTAGGACCGCGGCAGAACACTGCCTCTGATTCTGAAGGTCACTCTAGCCGTGGTCCTGGCGTAACCGCGGTAGGACCGCAGCAGTACATGCAACCTTCGGAGCCCAAATTGCAAAACACGCAATTTTAGGCCCTAAACCCTAAATTAAACGGGTTCTACAGTAATATAATGAATTAATATGTTGACATAGGTCTTCTTCCACATCGGATAAATTCATTATAGATAATTACTGTGTTCTTCTTTAGCCTCTAGTTATTTCATTACTTGTATTAACTCTCCAACTGAGTTACATGTTGATTGAATGAAACTAGAGTTTTATAAAAGTGATATTTACCTATCTTAAATTAACAGTTTACTCTCCATTTGAGTTGGTCCTATTTAAATTTATGGGGTTAATATCTGACATCACTCATATATTTTGCATGAATAGTTAAGTTTCCCTAACGAATCTAACTGTTCACTGAGCATGGTTATATGTGTAATGTGTAATTTTGAATTTAATCATTCTTCATACATAACTAATGATCTATTTAATGTGAATATCTCCCAGATTAACCATATCTTCATTCAACCCACTTACCTCAGTTTTGAACCAAAACAAGTTAGAAGGACCAAATTATGTTGACTGGAAAAGGAACCTTGATATTGTCCTAACTGCTGAAGGTTACAAATTTGTAATCACTGAGGAGTGCCCAGAAAAACCTGAAAATGCTACGGATGATCAGGTTAAGGCCTATGACAAATGGGTTAAGGCTGATGAGATGGCGCGATGTTACATTCTTGCCTCTATGGCAAATGTTTTGCAACATCAGCATCAGTCCATGGGGTCTGCTTACGATATGCTCGAAAGTCTCAAAGAGATGTTCGGTGAGCAAAATCGTGCAGCTAAGCAGACAGCCATGAAAGCCCTTTTGAACACAAAGATGGCTGAAGGATCATCGGTCAGGGACCATGTTCTGAAGATGATGAGTCTTCTGAATGAACTGGAGGTCCTTGGAGCTGTGATTGATAAGGAGTCTCAAGTTGAGATGGTCCTGCAGACTCTGCCNCTTGCACCCATTGGCTATACTGATTTAGATTTCCAGTCAGATAGAGACTCTAGAAAATCTACCTCAGGATATGGTTTTTACCTTAGGAGGTGGAGCCATAAGTTGGAGGAGTATCAAGCAATCGTGTGTTGCTGATTCCACCATGGAAGCCGAATATGTGGCTGCATCTGAAGCAGCTAAAGAGGCTGTTTGGCTCAGGAACTTTCTGAAAGAGCTTAATGTGGTTCCTTCGGTTCAAGCAGCAATTGTACTCTATTGTGACAATAGCGGTGTAGTTGCAAACTCGAAGGAACCAAGAAGCCATAAAAGAAGTAAGCATATTGAGTGTAAATATCACTTAATCCGGGACATAACTCAAAGAGGTGATGCAAGAGTGTTGAAGATTGCGTCGGAGGATAATTTGGCAGACCCGTTTACAAAGAGCTTGACACAGAAGATTTTTGACAAGCATGTAGAAGGAATGGGTGTTAGAATATTAGACGCATGGTTATGAGTCTAAGTGGGAGATTGTTGGGATATACTATTAACCATGCGGTTTAGACATAGTATAATATTTTGTTCATTATGAAACAATTGTTTATTTAATTTATTCAATTCAATAAAGCACTGTTTTAAATAGATCATTTGTAACATGTGTGTCCTTTTAATTATGTAGTAGACAATTTAGTGTATGGAGTCTTAGCTCATGCACAGAAGATTAAATTGTTGGTTCTCATAATTAATAAACTATGTTCACAATCGAAGATATTATCGGACAAAATATCTTGATGATTGTAGCACAAGATTATTGTATAATTTGTCTTGATTATGGGAGTAGGTTTACTCCAACTTCTTGTGCTAGTATACTCAGTGTATATTGAACGGACCAAGTAGAGAAAAGGTATTTTTGTACTGAATACATATAAAATATTTTCTCTAATTCATTAAATGAGCTTATACTCCTAATCTTGATATAAATGTTATGATCGATGTAATTAGTTTATTGTTTTGATTTATCAAAAGGTACGACTCTATTTAGAGTTAGTATATGCCTAATAAATTGGACAATAACAAATAACATTTGTGAATAATAATTAGTTGATAGAATCCATGACTTGGTTTTGGGTTTGATGATACCCCTTTATATAAGCTTATAACTTTTCATGTGAAAACCCGGCCGGTGAATTTTGTATCCGTCACATGAGATGGTTTAAGCAGATTATAAAGGATTTAATTAGTTAATTGAATTAAAGTTTCAGTGATTTAATTTAATTAACTGGCATTTGAAATCTTAACATAGGGAGTTAAAATAAGTGTTGATGAATTTCCGAAATTCATATTGAGGAGTTCAATTGCAGTTTTTAGTGGAATAAATTGCAATTAATTGTAGTAAGAATTAATTTATGCTAATTTAGAATTAATATTATAATTAGTAGCCTCTTATTATTTCTGTGGTCCCTGCTATACCTAGTAAAACCTGGATAGACTTGGGTAAAAGTAGCTTGGGAGAAAAGTTACCCTTTTTGAGTTAGAGTATAGGATTCTACTTGTAGAATCCTACACGATTTTGGGCTCCCTTTTAGGGCTTAATTTCGAGTCTTTAAAAGGGAGACAGGTTTCACCTAATCATTGACCCTAGAGTTGTATTGTTCTTGCCCACCCAAAAGCAAAAGTGTCCAAAGTTTTACTAGGCATATAGCAGAAGACTGCAGCCCTGGATCCTTGCTGTTTGGGAGATTTGTGCGATTATTTCAAGAGGTTAGTGTTCCTAATCTCGTTATTATTGCATTGTCTAGTTTACATGTAATTGATACCTGATTGAATAATTGCTTCCGCTGCGCATGATCTAACAATGTTATCCCCCTCCCACCCCCCCACCCCCCTTAAAAACTAATCTCCACAAAGACGTCAAGACTATACCATTTTAACAATGGTTTTAGGCTCCAAGGACGCCGTTTCTGAACAAGAAAGAGAAAATGTAAAGCACGATCACTTTATATTTTCACGAGCTTTAATCCCTCCGTTTCTCTTTACTTGATCTTAACTGATTTGACTAGTAATTTTAAAATAAAAGAAGATTGTTTTATATAATATGTGGTCGTTAATTAAATATGACAGAAGATTTTAGTGATTTTAAAACTTTTGAAACTTGTGTTCTTAAACATCTCATAATAACTTATCATTAAAGTTAATATTCTAAATATTTAGTTAAATTATTTTTAAAT